TGTCAGCTGTTGATAACGGACCTACTTCCGGACATAGACACAGACCGCTCTCCAGCTTGTGGCCCTGTATCAACTTCGGTCAAGAGTGCAGCATCGAAATACTAGAGACAGTACCTTATAAAGAGATAAAATACGCAAGCATCAATTGACCTCAAGGGCTTGCGAAGTATGAGCGTGTGGTATAGATCAAGACCCTGTGGCAGATCCAGTGTTAACGAATTCAGTAGGCAGGGACGGTGTAGTCCCTTTGTTGAAGACTCATTTACCATTTCAGGTACGATGACCTACCTTGCTAGTTTGAAAAGTGGGGTTAAACCGAGAAAAAGGGCTGCTGTGCAGTAGTCGTATCGCTTATGATCGATAGTTGTTGACTTGCAAAAAGAGCGTTCTCTGTACGGTTCCGCCCCCAACTCCGGCCTCTCGAGACGCCTGTACGAAAGCAATTACTTTGCGTCTGCTGCTGTTGGATAGCCGTTGCTACCTCGTAGCTTGTAGCTCGTTCTTGGCTGTGTAGCATTTTTAGCAATTTCTTCCTATTGCTGTGGTTGTCAGTGATCGCGGGTTCTAGTTGATCTTCTGTGCTAGTCTGTTATAGGATATTATAGAAACCAATCAAGCCTAGAATATTGTAAACATATTATTCATATATAAGTAGCCTTTCTCCGTATTAAAATCTGTAATTAAATTTAGATTGTAGAAACGTAAAAGGTGAATACGAGCATCAGGTGCCCTACTTGAGCCAAGCAGAAAATAACAGCAAAAACATACAATGTACACTATGATACGCATTGCATCAGCATTGATCTAGAAATATCGTATTCAGTTCTCCATAACTGCTTTTCTTAAGTTTAAGAAATACAAGTATAAAAAAAAATCTTATAATTTGCTTATGCCTGGCAGATTTGTATATGTGTCAAAAGTAAAAGTAAGGAAACATGCTGTGGAATAAAAAATAGAGTTCCATAACATCTCCACTATTTAATTGATGTAACTGTCCGGCTAGGAAGAGGCTCACTGGATTTTCTCAACCAGTAATTGGCTGCAAGTACTTGGCGGCAGTCTGCTATTTTCATACGGCTCGTTCGGCTTCGTTCTGCCTCTCTCTCTTCATTTTCAATACCTGTTACCCCCGCATGCAATCTCGTCCACTAGCCTCCTGAATGCTTAATCGAGTTAGTCGACCACCCGAGCTAGCCTACATCATCACACTCGTAGCAAAATGCTCAAATCCTTAAAGATCGTTGTCGTTTGTTTTATTCCTTTTTGGTTCAGTAGATATATTCTATCATCACCTTGCTGGTTGGTTTATGCTGCTGATCCGACGCAGCTGGACTCACTCTGTTACTGCATTCGGTCATACCAACCGCTATAAAGGAGACTACTCGCTGTTTTTACCCCACTCATTGGTGCTATCCCGGATTAGCTCTGGAGACCGCAGGTGCTTCGTACATTCCACCATCCGAATGACAATGAATCTCCCCTGGATTAATCTCAACGCGCAGATATTTACAATTGGTATTAGCGATGTACCATAATATGGTAATCCACGGGTAACGATACGGTAGTTTTAATATTGGCCGCTTCTAGAACTTGATTTACTGCGGCACCCATCTGAAGAGAAAATTGGAAAGCTTTTTCTATATGTCCGCTTCCCGATTTTGTGATGCGATGAAGAAATGCGAACTCTTCTTTCAATTATTTCTAGCCTAATCGATAAACTTGTTATAAACAGTATGTAAGCCAGTGATATGCCACAACCTCGTAAACTCGCGCACCGAGTGCGACTTAGAGTTTATGTGGCCAATCCTTTGCTTTCAAAACAGGGGTCTCTGAAATTTAGTCAGCATTTATGTAACACCTATTTTTCTTAGTTGTTCCTTAAACAGTCTGTTACGGTGTCAACTTTTCATGTCGGATTTATAAATTGTTATAAAAGCTATCCATAGAAACTTACGTAACCGCATGGATTCTCTTAAAAGAATATTTTTTGGCTTTAACCTTGTAAAAATGGCATGCATTAAAGCCTAATGCGTCCTAGAAAAGCGAAAACCGTCTTCTTAAACTCGAAAATAATGGAAATCAAGTTGACAGTATTTTTTTGCCCAATCTATATGTAAGTTCCTAACGTAATTTGTTTTTTGATTTTGCTGTTTGCTAATAGCTTCACATAACTCACAAAAAACACACCACTTCAAAAGTAGATAAACTTACTTAAACGAAATAGTTAGGTGTGACCAAACCATGGGAAGAAATACCTCAGGCATTAGGTTGATGCGTCACTCACCTTGCTACCATCTGATACTACAGGCAATATCAGTATTTATGGAAAATAATTAATCATATAACCGTGTTAAACAACCAGTCGCTTTATGAGTCTATTCAGTTACTTGAATTCAGAAGACATTTACTAAGCCACGGGGAAATTTTTTGAAAAATGTGAACTGCAGGCCTACTTGTGTCAAGCATTAATCTGCAGTATTGGCGTAATAATTATTGTGTTAATATGTCTTTATTTGTATATATTATTATCACATAATAATTACAAACCTGGCTTGTTTACGTGTTTGTCGAAGGAAACAATAGCACAGATCATAACAACTGGAACACGATTGTATACGTAGCACCTTTTTCAACTACGTCAAAAGATAACGTCTTATTTACTTGGTCTTTCTCTTTGTTCTGGGTATAAAACCAGTAGATATTGTTGCTCCACATCGATTATTTGATCTAATCCTTAGAAAAAACCTCTGAATATCTATTTGGATTTCAACATTTCGTCTATAAATAGTCACCGCCAAAGCAAACCATATTTACAAAAATACACGTCTATATGAAAGATATCACACTGATCTAGGATAAATTGTATTTTTTTATTACGATATTCATGATTATATGCAGCGTGTCAGCGCTTTTTGGTCGAATTTAGTTGTTTTTAGGTGCTAAGTTCTGACCAAAGAATTAAAAATATTCGTATTAAGGATATCGACAGCGAACAGCCCCCCCAGGTGAGCGGCAGGAGTAAAAACCGACAGGCGGAGCAGTATCCTGGAAATTTACTTGATATTCAGGTGACGAAAATCTCACAATTGCTTACTTGCTAACTTATCTCCATAATAATATCGCTGTTAGCAGAATTGAACTGACTAAGTGATCTTTTGAAATTAGTATTCCTTGTTGATGGATAACATTGCCTTAGTATTACACACAATGAGTCCTCTTCAAAGCTACTTATTATTCCTATCAACAATAGCAGTAAATATTGCTACCTACCGTGTGGGGTCTTACGGCATGCTTGATCGCCTGAATCGTACCGACGATATGAGCTGCGTATATATCCGAAACGGGGATGCTGTGCTGAATCCTCTTTGTCAGCGCTTCTGCATTGTAAAGGGCAGAACTCGTTGCCGACGCTTGAATCGAGCCGCATCTAAAGATTTGGCTCGCATTTGAAGATTTTTCGACGGAGGTCGGGGAAGTTGAAGGTCTAAAAAAGTAAATTCTAGCACGAATCCAACGCACAAGCACAAATCGAAGTATGTAGTCAATAAGAGCGTTTCAAGCCTAGGCGTGAGCTTCTCGTTTTCAAAATGGGCGTAGACGATAAATCCAGCTGAAGGTAACCAAAGAGAATGGAGTGCTACGATAAAAAACAAGAGAGCGCGACAGGCTAAAAAATGGTAAAAAATAATTAACGGAAAACATCAAAACGCAGTTTCTGTTTAATAATCCATTCCGGGGATCACACATAACATTCGTACGTTGGACGCAAGCTTCTTGAACCGGTTTCATAGAGCTGATTATGGAATTTCTTATAAAAAAAAATCTTTTAATAAATGTTTAATAGAAGCGTTAGCAACGCGTATCAGCTATGGTGTTTTAGTAAACGCTAAATATCACTGGCTTTAACCCCGTCATTCGGCACATGCATTTCACATGGTTTTTGTAAAATAATGAGTATATTTTAGAATAGGGTCCTACTTTGCATATTCGCCACATATTGCAGTGTGAGATAGGACACTTAACTCAAGCCATTAGACAAATATTAGTTTTCTCACGATCATGTATTGTGGCCTTATATTTTATATAGTGTGGTATTATAGCGAATTTGCAATGTTAATGTGGTCGAGAGTGCGTGCATAATGTATACATAATTAACTGAGAATTTACCACGGACTAATTTATATGAGAAGTATAAACAAGAACAGCTGTTGTCACGTTTTCATTTGGCCTCTGTATATCCAATAAATGGTTCCACAGATGCGCTGAAAGCCAAGGTGTGAAGCGGCAAGAGGAGAGAACACTCGTATTTGCTAACGTTCTTAGCGCTTACGTCTTCCTTTTGTGGTAGAAATTGTATTGAAAAATAGTTGAATGAAGACCACGTAATGTCAACACTGAAGAATAATTCTCATATAGTGTTTTTGAAGTGTCGCTGTATGTTGTTTCATCTAAATCGATCTTGCATCTATAGACAACGTACGTAAATGTACGTTCGCGCAGCTTCCTGTGTTTGACTGATTCCGTTTTCTCCATTTGGGATGCATATGCTAAAATTAGCATATAATAGAGTCGCATGTATACACCAGGCTTACTAGACGTACAATCCAAATTTAAGGTTAATGTGCTACAATGTCCGGTAACTGACCGTCGACTGGAAGATAGGCTAATGTTATGACTGTTAGGTAATGTCATTGACTCAGCTTTATTCTTTATCCGCTTGTAAATTTAGATTTACAAATCTCGCTCGTCTGCCTATTTAGAGAATTGATTAAGGCTAGTAAGCATTATCGGCAGCTTTTCACCGTAGACAACTGAATAAAACTGTGTAAACTGCACACAATATGTGGATACATTATTTTATCGAACAGTCGAACGTTGCTCTCCTTTTTGGCGATAGGCTTGCGTTGACTTGAACACAAAAGCTACTACGATGACGTAAAAAGGCCCATTCCGTTAGTTAATAAGATGTTCACAAGTGTTTGTAGATGAGAGGTTTCGAACGTAAATATCGAAACCAAAACTAAAGACATCAAACGGTATAGAATGCTATTTAAATAGCACTCAGTTGTTGCAGCGTTTGGGAAGCTGAAGCTCGCTGATAGATGAGACTTTGCTTATTGGTGTTTTTGAAGGACTATGACTCATGACGATGCCCATGATTTTGTGCGTCAATTAGCAACACTGACCGTTTGTTTGGAACGTCCGATGTGCAGCCCTTTTTAAACACAAGCATGTTCTATTGCGCCAGAGCCGAGCCGACGAAGGAACACACCGAATGATATTTAGCGATTCCTAAATACAAGCTGGGATGTTCCTAGGAATAGCGCTGTTCTTCTCAATGTGCTTTTTATATATTTCAGAATTACAAACCCATTGTGCGAGTTAATGTAGGTCCAAGGCCGACGCGTACGACTGATAATAGAACTGGTTGATAACGATATCTGCTTTTCCGGGGCCATCGGTTAAGTAAGTTTTATCCGGTTTCATTTTCCTTGTTTCCACTTTTGTGAGAGACCTGAACGATTCCTGATCCCTGTTGCTTTTGTTTTTTACACTGTTGTTTTCACTAATAGTTATGAAATATTTTTATAATTTGTTTGTTTAGTTTGCATACTTAACTGTGATATTAGTTTGTAGCGTTTAGTTAATGCTGGATTGTAATGGCACACTTTATTGATTGATTGTTTAACAATCAAGCCAGGCGTGCTTGCTAAATAAAGTAAAATTTCTTTTAGTCCGTTCGGTTGCTGCTAAAGTCTGTCGATCACTCTTGGTTGCAAGAATGCTAATTGGATTTCTAAGATTCCAACATGATAATAACCCGCCGGAACGTTTCAATACTTCTAAATGTTCCTACAATTTCAATTGCTGTTATTTATGTATTTAAAAAAAAAGCATAGTTACTTGACTTTTTCTATAATTCGTTTGTTCGTGACAATGATATTTCCAGAAAGAAAGAAAGAAACCCTAATGTTTATGGCTCGTCCACATATAACGCTCATATAATAGCACTCTGAAGTTCGAGGATCTCCAGGGTGGCCATTTAACCCATTTCATTCCATTGAAGGCGACGGTAGCCCCTTCCAGCAGCATGAATCACTACTATCCTAGCTGGTCGACAGCCAGAGCGAACAAAATTAAAAAATGAGCTTTGTGTTTGAGCAATAAGTTACTTTGTCATTATTGCTTCTGTGCATGCAGATCCATCGAAAGGTTTTGTCGTTTGTCAGCTAGAAAGCGGAGAAAAAGAGGAAGAGCCTAACTAAGCAACAGCCTTTATATCAGGAAATTCGCTCTTAGATCAATTTCGATAAACTATAGTGGTGCTCAGAGATAAAGTAGTCTTTGCTCTTCTTTGCTTTCTCAATTGTTGCAAGGCCTGTCAACAGTAGTCGATTGAAAAGGATTTGAAGTTTCAAATGAAAGTATATTTTGAAACAGTTATTGGTTTCCAATTTATTTGATTCAAATACTACCATTTAGCCAAAAGTTCTATGTCGTTTTTTCGGGCGCAAAATCTGACTTTATTAGATCCGCACGGATTGTGTAAATAAAAACAACACAATCCAACATGATAAAGATTCATTTGGAGTTACTCCCGATTGAGTGGCCGTCCCTATGTAAAAGTATGCAATATTTGTGATATGATAAGGTCGCTACTAAAGCAATAAATTGAACTCAATTAGTTTTAAACTCCCATTTTTACTTAATCTGTCCTTAGATATTATGGCAAATGTCGTACGTTAGCTGTCTACTGTGTGCTATTCTACATTATTTTATACTAGAAGACTTATACTATTTTCCTGTAGAATAAGCAAAAGTTTGCTACAGTGATTTACAACTCAACTTTTGCCAACGGTGTTTGCAATCCATCATTTCATGCAGAAATTCAGATTTGAAACGGCCGCCTACCCGGTACTTACTTAAGCTTTGAGCTGGCAACGGACGACCATATTTTCTCTGATTGTTGGTTGAGATCTTTATAAAATGATTCGCAGATGTTTTGCATACGCTGTGATCACGGTATCGATGGCTGTTAAAAAGGTTAATAAATAATTTTAGGGTAGTATTTCCTCGGTGACTTATCTACTCCAATAATATAGAGGTAGAGTACATCAATAAGTTTAAAGCAGAGTAAGACAGCTCTACAATTGGAAAAGAAGATTGACATCTCGAACGGATGCTTCTTGAAATTGGAGCCTCTGTTTACAATAAACCTGTTTTGCCTAAGACCCAACCTTACCCTACGAAGAGCCAGCTTTAGAACTTGTTATGTCAAGGTTTTCACTATACAAAACTAAACAATACCTAGCAAAGCGGCATGAGATAAAGCTTTCTGTTCTCATACATGTACATAATTATCTAAGCTGTCATGGAAAACAAAAGTTACATAGTACATTAGTCATTCTACAATGCCTTAAGACGAGCACGTTACGGCTTTTTATCTTCAAAACACGTATACAAGCTTGTTATTACAGATACGATTAGTACGATCAAACCTCTCTTACTAAAAATGAGCTTATTAAAAAAATTAGCTAAAATTACTAGCGTACGCAACCACTAAAGCTTGAAAAAGTTGATCATTGTCTCCAACGTTGGACGAGATACCAGCAAGCACAAATTGTAAAAACTAACAGATTGTTCTGTGATTTTACGAAGAGTAGGGACATCGTGCCTTCTCCTTGCCGTTGCTCGTAAAATGAGATCTGATTTTCAGCGCTTCGCCTCCAGCCGCCAATGTACTTTATGTCTCCGTTTGATCAGACTTGTCATAAGGCTGACTGTTACTGGAACTGCCCTCTGATGATATAAAAAAGGGTCAATTTATTCATCCTCGATGCAGCTAAAAATGTCATCGTAAATTCAGTGTGTCACGCCTTCCCTTAAACATCTTGTATTGTTAGAGAAATGGCAGTGTACTACTATAATCAAACAACATGGCGAAATCGGTCCTGTAGAGTTTAAACAGCGCGCTTCGTTCGTACATGGTTTATGGATTGAAAACCGAATACGATGACATATTTGCGGCTCATTTGAATCGTATTTTTTCGTCTATTTTTTGTTTTCGAATTGATTGTATGGTGCATTATGTAAAATACAGTAAGTAATCGCCGTTGACTGTTAATATGTGCATATGACCTTTGCCCAACATGAAATTATTTTACAAACATACAATAAAATTTCTTTCAAGGGATAGCTGAAATGATAAAGATGCTAAAAATTTGATTACATTTTTTCCATTTGCTACCGTACGTTCACTGAAATTTCTGATCCTGGTGCGCCTTGATGCGCGATATGACGTCCCAGTGAATCTCACTAAAATCTACGATTATCTAAATACGATAACAATATAAATATTCAATGATTTGGAGAAACGATTCGAAAATCTTAAGAAACGAGTGAAGTTAAACTTGGTGGTTGATGTTAACTTATTTGAGGTTGAGGAGCCTAACTAAAATTTGCGATCCGAGACCACCAAAGTGCGATCGTCTGACGGTTGACCTCAGTCAACTCTTGACTTGACTTTTCGCCTAGTGCGCAAATTTGTTGATGAGCATGACTCGGCTACGATACAACTCTTTTTCTACGAGGGGATCACAGGTGGGCTATTGTTTACTCTGGGCTACTTATCTTTATAAACAACGCCGCTTTGGTTTCTTTCTGCCCAGTTCGTCTGACGCGACAATGGGGTTAAATTTTCTATGAGGCTAAAGTTTGGGTAGCGACTGCTTTAACGTTCGTATGTGCTGAACGGCCCAGAGAGAAGACATTCACGGAGAATGTGTTTCTATAGTTCAGGAAAAGCTCCGACTTTATATGATTTTGTGTCTGAAGGAGTAAACACGAACAAGCTGAATAAAATCATCATATGCTAGCTGCTGATTAGTGCTGGTACGTTTGTGAAGCACTAAGCTAAAGGAGATTACTTCTCTGAAAAAACTCACCAAAGATGGAGTCCATTTTCTATAGGAATGAGACCTAATGTTTAAAGTAGTGCTGTTTAACCACAACATCCGAACGCAATTCATAGCGCTAAATTAGACCAAGAGCTTTTAAAAGACTGACACTACCTTTCTTGGCCTATGGTGTGCCGGACACTGATTATAGAAGCTACTCAAACTGTTTCTGAATAATGAGATGACATAGAGACCCAGAAAAAAAGTTCGAAAGGCACACTAAGTAGAATATTAACGAATGAACTGAGTGGCTTAATGAAGTAAACTACGTTTTGGTGAATGCTTTGAAGGATAAGAAGTATGCCTAGTACGTTGGCACGTTTGTTATTTCCAAAGAGAAGTCTCCGAGATATGGCAGCTTCCTTTAAATTATGAATTTATTAGGCTATAATCTTTAATTCATCTTCGCAACGTATCGTTTCAACCTCAATAACCGTGCTTATATCCTTTGACTTCAAGGCAACGAAGTAAACTGGTTCTGTGGCTTGTGTAATTCGTGAGAGTTATCATTGAATTATCGAAATAATTAGCCCTTACACACTCATATTCTTAGTACAAACGCGTTACATCTTTTAAGCAACTATATTGTTTTAAAAGTTTGTTTGTTTGTTTGTTTGTTTGTTTGTTACATTTATTACAATATGTAAAAGATCGTGAATCGTTTATCATATTTATCCTTAATCGTATGTATGTATACCTTCGCAAATGGTCACTTCTAACGTAATGTATATATGCTATCCTTCTCTTAATTAAAATAATCAAAAGAAACCGGTGATAGGGAGGGAGCGATATTTGAGACAGGTCGATTTTTTTTCGCTATATGATATTTTTTGACTTCTTTTCGCTGTTTATATATTGAATTTTTTTTTTATCACTTTTGTTAACATTGGATATTACAAAAAAAAAAGTCTTTAAAGCGCTGACCAACAAACGATGAGGTAAGTGCGTGACCGTAAAGCAAAGCTCACTTGGTAGTTTCCCACAGCTTCAGTCTCTTGCATCGAATAGTCATACGTACCGTTTCGTAATGATCGTTAATATACTGAGTAAAACATACAGTGTTAACCGCCATTTTTATTTAATTCTATTTATATATTTTTTAATGAGCGCCTTTGAACGAAATTTGACCTTTATGTCTTCTCAAAACTCTCAAAAAAGGGTCATATTTTTTGCAATTTTCCTTGGCCCTTTGTATACAATATCTGCATAACTTATCCACCACGATTTGCTTCTATTGCTAACACTACTTTTTTGTACTATCGCTGTTCATCCATCTTCACCTCGTTACATAATCGAAGAGTATTTTTCGTCAGACTGCTTTTAAAAATCAAAATTAAAAAAAAAACGCCGTCCTATATATTAATTCTAGAACCACTGCCGATAAACTGCAAAGGAACATCATATTCAATCCAATTAAACCCAGAGTAGCCAATCATAAAAGCGTAGAGCCAGTCACGGGCCTTTTAGTATTTAGTACTAGGCTACTCGCATCTAAGGTTTTTTCAAAGTACAATATTTGTTGGATGATTTGGGAAAATGATAACAAATATTTTTACTCAGCCGTTTTTCGTGTTTCGGCTAATATCCTGCTAGCCGATATTTCTAATCTAAACTTCCTAATCTATAGGTTCGAGCAGATTTTATGAATAAACCCAGAATGGAGCTGTTTAGGTATACATGACCATTAATATTCGGAGTTATTTCTGGGTGGCGGAATTGTTTCATATATAAGAATATTGGTTAGGATGATCCGCGCACCTCTCAGTTCATACGCTATCGGAGTGTGAGTACATAAGCCAATAACATAAGAAGATCGACCACTGACGGCCGACCACCCGCGCCTACGTTACTCGTAGATCGCCTTTCAACAGCAGAAGCTGTTAGATCACCCTCAATGATTGGAGCCGTTTCAGAGGCCACCTGGTGTGACAGTGTGGCTCATTGACCGGCTCTCCGTGACATAATTCTATGGAAGAAAGCTTCACGCCCGAAAGGCACGTGCCTACGCATTTACAAACAATGTCAAAAAGAACCCTTTAGGTATACGAGCGTAACAGTGGAAAGCGTAAGCTAAACCACAAGAACACATATAATTTCGAACGTTATTATTAGCATGTTCCCGCTAGCAACTAAGGCCTCATTCACTTTACAGCCTTACAAGGGTATGATGGTTTGGTCGTTAGACGAAAGATGTTTAACACATTTCCGTTGTTAACAAGCTTTGAGTTCAACCGTGAAACATTTTGTGGACGAACATTAAAGATATCGTCCGGATCCTCAAAGTTGAGTTAAAGTTGCCAATAAGATTCACAGTCCTGCAATTCCGAATAAAATATAAACGTCTCTCATCACATATACAAATCTAAATGCGTCTTTGAACTGCAGGGTTTGTTAATGACTATTTGTGTGGTAGGATCATTTGGAGGTAAATGGAGATTCTGAAGTTACATCTCGAGAAAGATAACCATAAGTAGTATTATAGAGACTTTATTTTACGGATTTACTGCAACAATTTACTAATTCGTCACCTGCATCTATTCTGGTGAAGGGCTTAATTTATTGACATACATCTTGCATATATACTGTTCGCCCTGGCAGGTTCGGACTAGAAACGTCCTGCACTTAGCAACTCAAGACCGCCTCCAGTTTAATTCAGCTACTTATGGCATGACTTTAAAAAGTTTATATTAAATTAATGTAAATAAATTAGTAGTGAATACCCAGTTCAGTGTTCACCAATTGCATCAATTACAAAAGTAATCAGCTGAAAAATAGAATCATGTTTTTGACAAGCTTGTTTGATGTTTATCATATATCGTGGGTATCAGAATGTACATACGATTAAAAAAAATGTTAGCTTTATGAATTCTTCTGACTCTCGGCATATCTACGGAACGTGACACGCTTATCATTCATAAGGAATAGCTACATTATATTTATACTAACTAGACTGTATTACTGAGATTGCTGCAGATCCTACGCGGAAAACTTAAGTTGAAATACGAACAAAACTTTTGACTTGAAACAAGTATCTGATTTATATACGAGATTTTTTGTACAATCATTGCTAACTACGAAAAATGTTTGAGCTACATTGACCACGCCGATGTGATAGCAGTAATAACAATCGATGCGCAACTTACATGACGGTTTTTTGAGACGCTTACTTGTCTGAAACAGTTGGCAAAATAAAACACTCATCTGCTAACTTAAAAAATCTATGTAGAACTATTTACATATTTTTCTAATAAGGTGAAAGATTACACTGTTTTAACTTTTCTTAGCAAAAATGTTTGTTTTGTGTCCAGAAAATTTCCTCCTCCGTTAATAATTTAGAATGAATCCTTCCCTTCATGTTTAACGTTAGATCTTAAAATTTGTTGGTCAGTACACGTCATCGTTCCATATAATCCAATCTTATTAATTAGTCTAAAATGATTTTTAGATTTTATCATTATATCACATTTTTATGAGATATAGAGGTGTGTAGGCACGTAAACAAATAGTTCTTGGCCATTGAAGCATCATTATTGTGTGGCAGAGCTTGGTACTATAGTCGAATAGCGCAATCTAAAGATGATATATGGGCTCCTTACAAAAAATACTGTGAAACTTTATAATAACCTTGCAGAATAAGATTTTATAGAATTCAACCTTATTTTTTTAAATTTATGCACTGCAAGATTATCGTCCCATGCTTAAGTGGAAGGATGCAAGCTGCACATTTTCATTATAATAAGGCATAGATAATGAGACCACTGAGCGTTTTAACCTTCTTTGCAGGAGAATTGGATAAACATGCGTATTAGTCACTTTGACCTCATAATGGCCTATATTTTCTACTTACCTTACTTAGCCATTGGATGGCCTATAATGTCCTAAAAAGAACGTTGCTTAGGATTTGTTTCCTCGATCAGTTTCAAGAAACTCCTACTAAGGGCATTAATTTGTTTTATATAATGATAGTTCTTGATTTAAGAAGCAATAATTATGTTTTATAATTATGGCACCATAAGTGAGAGACTATCAGATTTTGTCATAATGGTGTAGCGTTAGATACGAGCATAATATGAACTGTAAATTTGTTATTTACCTCCCAATATACTTATATTTACATTTAATAGTAAATAAATTGTTAATAAACTAACTAACAATTATTTCATTGTTCAACACAGAATGCATCACAAAACATGTAGACGTATTGTGGTAAACTTAAACAGAAATATATAAATCGTAGTTCCTCGAAAAGTTTATTAGTTTCTTCAGGAGGGTTAAATAGCTCTTCCGCAGATTTTTTCTGTAGAGCTAAACGAGTGTTTTGACCTCATGTCCGCCTAAGCTTGGTTAGTGCCTAGCACAAAACAAGTTACGTCTACGCTTAATCGCTAATCCAGGCACTTCGCGTATCCTTAAGTTTAATACAGAAACATTTTACCACTTGACCGTTCTGCATTCTGTGGAGTTATGTTAACGAGATTATTTTATTAATTATTAACCTTAACGAGAGTCAACAAAGTTTGTTAAACATGGCTCTTATCATTTCAGTTAGTGGAAGTTTTACCTTAAATCGCGCATGGGTGATTGATAATCTTTTCTTTTCAATGCTATGTCCCTTAATCACTTTCGCAATCTTTTTACGCTCAATTGTTTGACCCATATCAAATAAAAGCAATTGCTTAAAAAGATTTTTATTGTGCCTGCGTTCCTTTCTTATTACCCAGTAAACTCGTATATAGAAGAAAGCATCGAATCGGCATTTGACAGAAATGAGGGAGCCCTTCTGAACAGTACTTCAAGGAGGATTTTATTTAGGGTGTTATTTTGGAGCGTCATTATTGAAATTTCTATTTTTTTTTATGACACCAACAATGACGCATGTTGAAACCCTGACTGAAAAAATGGCTATCCTTTTAGATATTCAAATCAATATAAGTCTTATATAATATAATATATACAATATAGGTTTATAATATTTACCTGCACATGTATAACAAAAATTTGTCAGTCCGTCTCTCATATTGTTTTACACATGTAAAGTTATTGGGATCAGAAACAATGTGTTTTTAGTCTCACTCGAATGATAAGGGTTTATTATAACACAAGTATATTACCTCTCAAGAAACGATACGATTCTTCTAGTGTAGATAACTGAAGAATATATGTTAGAAATATCCTTTTTAAAATAAATATTACACAACGATAACTGGCAGAAAAAGTTATTTTCGACTCACAGTTGTTAGTTTAAGTTTTGGGCCGCGCAGTTTCAAACGATCAGTCCGTGCAGCACTTTCCTTATGCCTACCTGGTGTGTAAGTCCCACCTTCAGCATTATCCCTGCGTGACTGAATGCAGTATCCAATACATTTGAGACTTAATCGGGTTAAAATCACATGTTGGCCGATCGCGACACAAAAAATGATTTCAGGGAGCGTTGATTAATTCTGTCTATTGCTTAAATCTTTCTAGGAGATTCTGGGAGTGCGTTATTCCAGCCGACGAATCAGGAAGGCTCTCTCTCAGTCGACCCTCGGTCAGGAATGTCACGCAGCGTTGAAAAACGTACGGTTGATTTACACTATGCGATTAATAGTTGCGAGAAGTCACCTGTTCATTCGTTAAAAAAGGTACTTTTATCCACAGGAATATATATATATATAGTAGCAAACTTATTACTCGCAAAATCACGGATCGTAATGATATTATTGAATATTTTCGATGGAACCAGCGACTTTTTTCTATCGTTGTGTGTCATGCTGAGATATGTACGTACGAAAAAGCGTATAAGGGCAGGAATGATATTTGGAGTAAGAAATTTCATTCGGAGATCTTGTTCAACCAAACAATAAGTTACTTATGACGTCAGAGTTTCTGTAACATTCGTTTTTTTAAAATATATTTAGAGCGTATTTTTACTGCCTTAAATCGGAGAAAATAATTTTTAAACAAAATATATAATTAAAGCGTTTTACGCACATATCAAAGGAGCAAACAGCGTAGCATATAGTAGACACCGAAGAGCTACTACATAATGTGATCATAAAAATTCGTCGAAGGTCTGGAGTTTTCTTTTTTAACAGATGAAACCAACTTTGATTTGAATTATTACGAGCAACTCAATCATGACTATTTGTCAGTTGCATGAACTTCGTTAAATCGAATTGCAGACAGAGAAATAATTGTACGACGATGCTGGAGCTTAATGAATAAGTTGTTACGGTTTCTTTCAATACAGTCAGAAATATTTCCGCTAAACAACTAGCTGTTTCACCGGTACTAAAACTAACGAAGCTCTGGTACTAGTAAATCTCCCTCGTAATAACATGCGACATTTAGATTAAAAATAATTGTTTACGAAATACCATTTTAAAAATTACGGTTACTAATTTTGAGCAACTTTAAAATTAGTGTTCAGAAAGTTGGAAATTTGTGTCCCACCATTCTGATTCTAGTAGAGACGTTGGCTTTGCATAGGATAATAATTAAACAAATCGTAGTATTGAGCAAGGTTTTCTAACTAGAGCACTTACTTAACCAATAATCTATTTTATGGACTTTCAACTCTTGCGAATACTAGAATGATCATATTGCGACCATTGAGCTCTTCTTGTTGATATGACGCGACATTAGCGACCGGTGGCATAATACTCCCTTAGCACGTTAGAGCACTACTAGAGTTGTACCGTCGTGCGAAGGTTAAGCATCCTTTTTTAACCACACCTGATACACTGAAACCTACGATCGTGAAAAAGTTACATTTTGAAATGTCAACCAACCCATATTAGAACATAGGGGCACAACGCAAGATAATGTAGTGTTTGTAAACAAGGAACCGTCACAATTAGTTAATAATACTTGTCTACCTGGAAGAATCATGTATTGCTACAAAACTACTGTTAGTTCAGAGATCGAATAGCTGCCCGCTCACATGTCCATTCGTTGGGGATATGCTTCAATCCCGGAGGCGTCTGAAATTCGCACTTGGGTATTCTGGCCGCCTCGTTTTTTGCTCACTCCAGTTGCAGAGCCTCTGGCTTTCTTTCGTCACGGCGGCGGTGTTTAGCAGCGAGGCAGACAACAGCGTCCTCTAGCGTCGTCAGCCTTTTCCTCTGCCTCGACCAACATTAAATAACATAATCGCTTATATAAATATCTAAGTAATCTCTTTCGTTCGCAGATGGACCTATAAGAACCACCTTTAGTCAACCGTCTAAGGTTGCACTTGTCAGTGCGTGTTAGCAATTTCAACTCGGCAATTCCTATTATACCGAATGACCTTACAACTATGGACCAAATATACGACTCAAATATGTTTAGATCAACTAGCAATCTGCGTGCCTGAGAAACAGTACTACATTTTTTTTTAAATGCCGTGGAGGGCATGTGGCCGACGAAAAGTTAAAATGTATTTTCAGATAGATGAACACGCCAAGTGGGCATTTTTGAAGCGTCAATAAATATTGGAACCAGATATCGCTGCCCGGAACCAGATATCGTATTTAAGGAATATTGAAGAATTTGAATATTTCCAAATGAAGTAAGTAACAAACTATACATTTTGTAATCGAGGTTTCAACTTGGAATAGCTTCCAACGAAAGGTTTTGCTTTCGAGTCGAAATCGCCCGATTTCAAAAACAAAAAAACTGTGGCGGTTGATTCAAGACCGCAACAAACTATTGCCACGGGATTTATGAATTTAGAACTTGCAAGCCAAACTTCTTCTGAAGAAAAAAAACTTTTGTTGGAGTGGATAATTTGTAAGATCGACGTCAATGTCAGTCTACCAAGAAAATAGTCGAAAACGTTTAGTAAAGAATTTTTTCTCACTCTTTGGGTGCCATAAAGAGAGAACTGCTCTACCCGTACCCATTTTCTGGCTGTTATTCATGCTGTTATTATGGAAGTTGCTCCTGATCGTCGCCATTTGTGATGAGGCCTGCTTCGCTTTTATATGGATGCTTGCTGCTTCGGATGTGTCCTTCAACCATATCTACTCCTCTTCGTAGATCCTAATGAAAGACTTTAAGGGAGAAAGATTGTCGCACAGAGGCAGAATTGTTTTCTCGACCTGGATCAAATACAAGTGCTTAGTTGATCTTTTACCTACTGTGACATCGAAATTGGTAGGAATTAGTTCTTCATAGATCATCAATTTCTCTGAAACAGTGCCTCTGTATTTCACTTTTAATAGAAATTACGCCGTCAGAAGAGTGATTCGAATATCCTACCACCACGAGATCCACCAGCGCTCGCGCTAGTTTGCGTGAACGACGTCTGACTAAGTACAACGAAAAAAAAAATGAGCTAAGGTGTCGGCGACACCGCCCGATATGACTTATGCAGTAATCGACCAATTCGCGAACTCTGAGTCGCCACCCCACAAAACCCTACTCTTCGCACATCATTCGAAGCTAAATCGGAGGTTCACAAATGAACTCATAGTGCTCAGTTCGTCTCTCGTACTTTTCTAAGACAAGTGGATATTAATTTTATGTATGTTACCTGTATGCAGTAAAAGTTCCAGTCCATCAATTACATCATTTAATATCAAGACTCTAACGATATTAATATAGTTTCCGTAATCCGCCTTATTTTTTTTTAAGCAATTCGTCCAATCCACACTGTAATAACTTTAAGACATGATAAACGACATCTCTCCTTTACCCACACAAGGTGTGATTACGGACGTAGATTTGACACACGAGAGAATACGCAGAAAGCCAGACTGTGCAGGGGCACAAAGTTTTAAATTAATTATGTACTCAAAGAAAAGCTACTTATTGATGATTTGTAGTGACTCTAGATCACGTACGCCAAGTATATGCATTTGATCAGTCGGGGTGAGCTCGTTTCTCCTTTCCTACGTTGTGGGCATTTAGTGTATGGGGTGCTTTTATTCACCACTGCTCAATATTTTTCCAAGTCAACAGCGTGTAACGGCAAGCAATTGATTTTCCATTTGCCAAAAGAACAAGTTCTTTATCTTCCCGAAATTGAACCTAATGTAAATATAGTAACTCATTAGAAACGCAGCGATACCAAGGACATTTGTCTGTTGTAGATTTGTGGTGTTATTAATTGTAAGTTAATGATTTGTCATTTCGTTAATCTTTTTGTACAAATACTGACCGTTTGAGCTGCATAATCCGTAATTCGGAGTATCTAGAAGCACCGCATCAGCTCGGTCAACAACAGTTTCGTACTGGAAAATGAATATTGAGAAAATATTGATACTTTCGTTTCAGTATCTTCTTAGGGCCCAGAAACTTATAAGGATGCCAGACAACAGCGGCAACGATAATGGCGTAAAATTCAATGTAGCAACTAAATAGTTATTACAGTTGGAAGTGCATTCAAAAAAAATTTAACCGCACGCGTTGCCCGACCGAGTTTAGATCGTTCACGGAAGCAATTGCTGCCGGCAGGAAGCAGGCTAAAAAAAAGAGCTATAGAAAAACCAAAAAATCACACACACACCGATAACAGAAGAAATACTCAAATTACCACAGAAGCTCAGCTATTTGCCAGCAAACTTGTTAGCGAACAGCGATGTTATATGTAGTATAAGGATGTGTGAATCCAATGTGTACGTGAAAATCTACATATCGTTAAGGGTACCTGAACCTGTCAAACTTCACCTACTTTAGGTAGTAGACTTTAAATCAGATCTAAGTGTATCGCATGATAGGTTTGGGCGCATCAATAGCAAAATTATAGCAAGTTTACATTTCTGTTCCGTTTCAATGTGACCTGGTGACAATCGGATGCTAATGAAACTGGTGTTTCCTAACACCCTTAAAATGCACCCTTGAACAATTATATGGCTGAGCATTAAATGCTTCTGGCTCTAAAATGGCAAAACTTAATTTGATCGCAGGGAATATTATGTGGTAGTATACGTACGAGAAGATTATTACAATAAAAGTGGGTCAGAAATTTAGTCACGCGGCAACGAGCCTTGATACCATACGCACCCACACACACACATTTTAACCTGAGCACATCCACGAAACCTTCCGGTTGGCCGATGTAGCAGTTTCAAAGAACGGATGTATTAGAACTTACTCAAGAAGATATGATCGAGCAGAATTACATAATGCTTTATATTGCTTCCGAGGTTTGTGTACAGATGCAAGTATCTGAGATATTATCCTCACAACGATAATTAGGTGCTTAACTGCCTACACTCTAAATGTACGCTATTATATAAAGGAAGACAAATCGAAACAAGAATTTCATTCCAGCCAAAGGCTTTGTACACTTCATTACTTTTCACCTCGTTTAAACCGTATATCTTGTTTGGTGTTCTCCAGCTCCAGCTCCAGCCAAAGCAAACTCACGGTGCCAATGGAACTGCTTGAAACAGAAGCTTATGCATATAGAGGGGTGATATAATAGTTGCTTAACAATTTATCCCAAAAGTAGTCGGCATGGATAGAAAAATGTGATCGATATGTAAAAGCTTGCCATGCCAAAAGGTCTAAACTCATGTGGATAAAATAGTAAAAATCGACAATGAACAATAGATAATGGTCATTACTTATCTTATCAGTACATCTGGATTGCATCTTTAGGCTAGGTTGGACCAACCTCGGCCTTCCAGTTCCTGCAAAAGCAACACACAGTAATAAATATTTACAGTTTTACGTCTGGTACTACCGTTAAGCATTGCTTCAGATGACCAGTTTCCAGCACGAAGCGAAGCCTAGTTTCGAACCTATATCACCGTAGGTGAACTAGGCCCCCTTGCAGGGAAAGCCTTCAGCTTTCCTTTGTTTGCTCTCCCTTTAGCCGAGTTTTAGAGTTTTCATGATATGAAATATGTATTTTGTTTAAGACTTTAGAAAGAAATTAAAAACTTGGAACTCCAATAAATGTCAATCGATATTTCCACCACAGACCTTGAAGTACAAAATGTTATTATTAATGTAACGTCGTCTAATACATTCCAGGACCGTGTTTTAATGGGTGTGATTTTGATCGCTTTAGAACATAGCTATACCTAACATTGCCTACACTGTATTTCAAGCAAATGGACTACGTCGATTGCAAAAGATGTATTTAGAAGTTCTCATCAGAAGCCGTGCCGAAATGCTCAAAGCACTGGATCTTTGCAAAAAAAAACAGAATTCTGTGAGGCTATATGCTGAATGACAGACACAATTGGCTTTGACACCTAACCGGTTTCATACAGTACTGTGCTCGTACTTTGTTTCGTTGAGAACAAAAGACGCCAGCTCTGACGATAAGTTTGTTTTTATTTACGTTATGACCTATTTTCAACGTATGATTGGGCCAAAGTACTGCGGGTCAGAGTGGAGCGCTTGAACAAAAACCGTGTAGTAATATAGTATGTATCCTGCACTGCTGTAAGTGCTTACAACATTCCCACATATGTAAAAAATTATTGGTGATCATCACCCCATCACCATTCTGTAAAATCCAAAAATAATTCGAAATGGGTCTACCTTATTTTTCAAAAATATTTTTGCTAACGTTAAATCTGTGCTACATGTCAAGTTTTACTTGACAAGACCCCAATCTTTAAAAAAAAAAATAATTTTTATCGTCGTTGTTGCGCACTAAGCCATGTTCGTTTTCTAGAATGTGTTTTTGCATGATTTATCGGAAAAAGCTTTTCGAACCAAAACACCTTGGAAGCTTGTACATGTAAGGGAAGACGTCCTAATATAGTCTGCTTTTTGCTTTCGGTAGCGTGAGACTGTGTTGTTGATGATTAGTCCAGTGTCAGGCGGTGGCAACCAGTGTTAAAACAATTGATAAAAGGCTTTCCCAATTTTGTGCAAAAAATAAGTGTTTAGTGCAAAAGTATATAAATAGTCCGCGTTTGCTAGTTAATCCTTTGGCTTTTCGGTAAATTCTTCCCTTATAACTGGAAACATTAATTTCCCAAATGCGCCCTAATTCTGGCTAAAAAGATAATTTTGTAAAAAAATTTCTTGCGATACTTTTGCGGATTTAAAAGATTAAGAACTCTCTACGAAGAGATAACACTAGAAGGGACAATATTAAGTAGCACTGGAAAATATCGGGCGCTACTGTTAGAAAACAAAATGGCGGAGGTGAAAAGAAAAACGTTTTTCTAGAAGTAAAAGCTCAATTTTACTGTATAATTATTAAAGAAAAGTACACGGGTCGAAATTGACGATGATTGATAAATCGTTTGAGAAAGAATTAGTTTTTAATAAGACTTAAATTTTTAAAAAAATTAAAAATATTTTTTGGATCCTAAAGGGAAGCAGTCCACAACAGTGCGCATGAATGATACGAAAATGATACAGGTGTTTTCTATTATTCTCTAGGTGGTTGCACCGAGTTTGATTTACATATCAAGTAGAAACCTTAATAATCTTTGTGAGCCGTATATGGTCTATGTTCGAATCAGCTGCGAAGGTTTGGTTAATGGGAATAGAGAATTTTTTTGTTGAAAGAGATAGCCTCAAGTCTAACTAACTCTGCATATCATTCACTTTGAAAATTTTAAAGGAAGTCCAAATTTTATCGGAATGCTTTAAGAGTAAAATGTATGGTTTTTCAAGATTGGATATGGGTCAACTCAAATGTGTTTCCATAATGTCACAGCTAATTTGATATTAGCGCGCAGCTGACGCCGCAAATCATGATAGAGGGTATTAGCGCTTAGATTTGAACCGCTTTCATTAAATCAGCAATCATCTGGTTTTTTGATGCTAAATGCACGGATTCTCTACTGTGATTTATGCATAAGTTAGATTCTACCGTTCAGCCAATATCATATGCCATTTTTACCAGAATAATAGCTTTTTTTGTGGTCGAATCCCCTGGAGTCCAGCTGAGCTAATCAAACGAAATACAATAAATAAAATTTGTACAACTACCCTATACCTATTGTACATCCGAAGACCTACATTGCCGAGACGCAATGTATCATTTTAATTATATACGCCACCATTTGAATAGTGAACTGATTTATGACATTGACAAAAGCCTATCTCCATCCTTTATTAATTTGGCTGCATTGATTTACGTACATTATTAAAAAGGTACATATCCCTTTTTAGTCTGCTTATATGTGCATACCTACGTACATATTCTAACTAAATGTCAGCAGGTTTTGTTATCTCTTGGCGAACGATTGAAAGAGCACTGGGCCTACTCACATACTAATTTTAAACAAAAAACGAAGCTCAATATCTATCCTATTGTACTTGAAAAACGTGAGCTATAAAGAATGATGCAACTGCTAATTGCTTCTTCGATGATATATACCTCTTTTTCTTTATCTCATTAACAATACCCACAGCAACAAAGCCCTATAGTAGATTGGCTTTCTGAGACGTAACCATTCAACAAAATAGCTAAGCGTAACATGTGTAGCCTTAGACGGTCTTGGCCTGCAACTACCATTCGGCTGGGTACTTTAAACATCTTGTTTTGTACTGCTGTGGCGTAGACGATACGTAACCACAAAACAAGCTCCGACAGTGTGTAGCTTAATTCAAGGTGTTAGGTATCGTAATATAGTGTTTTGCCATAGAGTATTTATGATTAACCACTAGTCGTTGCGGCAGTAGCTTAGACGTTTAAAAGACGGTCAAGCCACCAGTTTTATGTGCTTTGATGTGCTCATGTAAACCAGCCAATATGTTTATCCATGTAGTTTCACTCATAGACGGCCAGTGATTATCTGTCGCAAATGGATCCAAGACCGAAAGGTCATTAGAAGGTAGCGTAGGCGTACAAGTTAGGGTGACCGATATTATATACACATATCTTCCGGATGGCAGCCGCCCTGATTCGTTTTCTGCCGCGTAGCGATTTATGTTGGCGGTTTCGGCCACTTGAAGACGAATAACGTCTAGATATTTATTTAGAGGAAGATATTTTATCTCTCTGTAATGTCGCAACTAATAAATAGCATGATATCATAATAACAATGAAATACTTTGCACTTTTTTCTCAGTCCGTATGAAACTGAAGTAATAAAACTTGAGCTTGCTCAGTTTGCTAGAGTCTCTCATTTCTTACAGTGATGGTTGGTTTAATTTTATTTGAATTGTTTTTCTTTTGCATTTGTACGAATGCTATCAAACGCAAAATGGCTTTGCCAACTTCTGCATAGCGTCAACGACTTTCGAAGGCATAGCATGCATGATGCCATACGAATAATATAAACACATTTTGCATTGTTTTCACAGGAATATAGAAGCTCCCTCCGGACTATTATGTTATATGCTAATCCGTTTCGCTATATTGGCAGACAATTTGGAGTTGATCCTTTATAAGTAAACGATAGCCTGATAATGTCATATAAGGATGCATGAAAAATGTTGGGATCGGTACAACCGACGAATGGAGCTAAGTGTTTTACTATAAACCTCTTCACCCAGAGGCTTTTCAAGCTTTAATTATCGCAATATTCAGCTAATATTTTTAATTTACTTAAGAAGCCGTAAATCACAACGCAAGAATAACTTGAGAGTTTGGATCTGGTGTACGCTAAGTGCCGATAGTTTGGCATGGATTCATATACTGCTGAAGTCTGCTCCAGTGAGTCTCTCACTAACCGCGAACAGCTTCGCAGAAATCGCCTCATTTTTAGCGGAAGCGAGCAGAGGCTCTAGTTCACAATCGACGAAGTACTGGCCATTGTGCCGACTATTACTCAACGTCGGGGTGACTGCCAAGTAAACGATAGTCTGTGCACCCTCTGCCGCGCTTCTTGTGAAAAGGGACGATACCTTTCCAACAGTATAACGAATATACCAGGGAAAGTTCCGTGCGATGTTTGTAGAGCAAGTTCCTGGGGTGCATGAGAAGACGCCAAGTCCGCGGTTTCCATACCTAGCCGCCAATTCGCGAGTTACCATGACGATAGCGAGCTTTGTATTTGAATAAGTCTGTATGGCCAGCTCACGATATTTACTCTGGTCAAAATTATCAAAATCGATCCGCCCTAGTTTATAGAGAACGGATGATACATTGACGATACGCGGACTATAACTCTTAAGTAGAGCTGGAAGGAGAAGGCAGCTGAGAAGAAAATGTCCAAAAAAATTTGTTTGATACTGTAGCTCAAGACCGTCCTCTGTGAGTTGGACATCACCTCCGTATGAGACGTACGCCGCGTTATTGATAAGAACATCAATGTGAGATTCCGTGTTGATAAGCTTAGTGGCACAGTCACGAACAGATTTGAAAGAACTGAGGTCTAGTTTAACCGATCGTACGTCGGACCATCCGGTTTCACGGATCACTTCAAGTACGGCTTCTTCGGAGCGCTGTTTGCTTCGCGATGCAATAATAACGCGAGCTCGTCGACGTGCTACTTCCTTGGCTACTTCAAGTCCGATCCCGCTACTGCCGCCGGTAATAATTACTGTCCGACCGTGCATACCTTGACCAGTAGGACATTGGGCTGTTTTGTGCATGTACAAAAACAACATAACGAGAAAGATGTTCACCGTCCCGATCACGAGTATCCAAATCATTTTTGTGCGATGATGATGCGATAGATTATTGATAGCATCAGGTCACGCACACACCTTGTCTTTATATATCAAATCAAATATGGCAAGCAGATTCTATATTTCACATTTAACCATAATTTAGGCGCAAAATTAATAAAAACACACAAGTCTTCTTATATCGTAAAAAGCTAGACGAGGTAAGCGTGCCAACGAGAGACTGGAGTGATCACTGTGGAATCTTTGTCCAATTCAATTGCTTTCACCTTGCAGGTCGTCGTTTGCCACATGACTGAAAAGAAAGTGACAATACCATCAGGGACATTGAAGCGTCCATCGTATATATTCGTCAAGGTTACACGCGGGGAGAGGTGATTGGTCCGAACGCCCAATGTCGGAGGCAGCGCCGCGAGGGAACTAGTTGTTGTTGGTGTTATTGTTAGCACTACTACTTTGTTTCGTGTCTTGAGACTAGCCGCAAACTTCCTTCCGTACTGGCGTTAACTACTGCCGTAGCTGGTGGGGGGGACAGTAGTGGTAGCAACGGCTTCCATTGTAGTGATGCTTGTGATGGGACGCGGAATGGGTTCAAGCAGAAAGACAAGACAGGGTGCTGTGGGCTGTAGAATTCACTAATCATGACGCTCCTGACTGATAACCACGGTGATCACTGCTTTACGTAGAGAGCAACGCATTAAATATTGTGTAAAAACGTTTTGGCTGGTTTGTTGTACGGATATTTAGATTTGTAAATTAAACAAAGATGCAGGAGAGATCTCTGAGGCACACAAATCTAGATTTAATAAGTTTTTAGACAATGCTGGGACGATATCGGGATGGGATCGGATCGGATCAATATTATAGCTTGATTCAAAAGAAAACGAAACTCAGGTCACAATAAGTGTGTCATAAAATGAAAAATGTTTGTTCAGGCTTTATATCACATCAAACCGATTTTAGCTAGCCTAATTCTATTTATTGGACATAGACAACTGTTAATATCGTTATTTATGTTAGTATCGCACAGCAACAGCAGTATGAATTTCGATACTTGTTTCGATCGCCTTATATAACTACATTCGGAAACAAGTCGGAAACTAAAGATTACTTATCGTTTAGTATACCGTCTATAAAAATTTACACGATTTGTTTGCTGTTTATCTGCTATATATGTATATGCAGAAGAAAAATATAGATCCGCCATCATCAGCGAAAAAATCGCCTAATGTTGTTATTTCTTATTTGTATGTTGAAATGAAATAGCGGTAAACTTCTACCGAATTAAAGTTTATTACGTGCGCTGAGGATGGACAACATTTTCAATCAAAATAAAATGTAACCACATCGATGTATTAGTAGTAAAACACTAAATCTCTGGCGCATGTACTTATCACAAGGTCCATATTAACAAAATATTGGCCAGCGCAAAAATCGGTGTGGCTAACTATAGGGTCAAACGTTCATACGAAAATATCAACCTGGAATAAAGTATCAGATTTGAAAATTATGTGCTGCCGCAAAAGCAGACTGATAACGATACCGAACTTCGACTACAGATTAACTGGTGATAAATCTAATAAAACAACAGTCTAATGCTTCATGTCGTAGTTTAAACTCAAATTTATAATGCGTCATTTAATAAATCAATTACCTTAATAGCAAGCGACGATGTAAATAAACTATTAGTTTAGAGGCACACGCAGTCAATCACCGAAAACCATTCAATAAATTACTGGTGTCCTAAATTCGACGATAATTGAATCTAACTCTTCTAGCAGTAAAGCGATATCGCACATGTAAATTCTGTCCTTTGTTACTCGTTCTAGGGAGAACGGTTGACGACATGTTGAATGCACCTAAGAAGCTGTAACATAGTAAAATAAGAGGTTTTAATTGATTACCCACGTAATTAAATATTTTGGAAATTAATGAATTAATAGTTCAACCAGAATTAAGGTTTAGGAAAAACGATCAAACCTAACTGCAAACAAGATAACTAAAGGTAAATTCTAGTATTATTTTAATTTCCGTCAAGCCAGAACATGTGATTTTCATCGCCTTGTTCTTCGAAATAGTCAAAACAAAGAGGTTCGCAATCTAAAAAATGTGCTTTTTTGTTATCGTACGTCCCCGTGGGCACCGACAGATGTTCTATTCCACCTCCTGAAATCCTTAATGTTGTGTGTTAAAAATTTTGAATAAGCTTGGATTGCATTGATTTGTGTTGTAAGCGCATAGTAGTTTTATCATTCCTGCGGCATTCCAAAAACAAAATCTAGACTCCAACCAGCTTCCACATCTAGTAGTAATACATATTAGCGCCTTGAAATTTTGTTTATAGACCGTAGCTTACCGATTTTAGAGCCAAAACATTTACACTGAGTGTGGATTCTCATATATCACATTCCCAAAAAAAGACTGACGGCTGATTATCAGGCTTTATTAAAAAAAAAGTCGTTGTAAAAAATAAATATTAAGGCACATACTGGCGTAAACTGAAGTGATAGTCTGGAAAATATCATGCGATAACTACGCTATATTTAGATTTACGTATATAAAATGAGCACTTTCCTGAAGGCCCTTAAGTGTAAGCCTTTTGAGTACTACAATTACTTCTCTAATATTTAATTTTCAGGACTTAATAACTGGAAATGACGTTATAATTTGGCGACCGTCAAAACGGCTACCGCAATCTTACTATTATCCGCACATTGCACACAAAAAAACATTGAATTTCAACATAAAATTTTATGTCATTAGAAAACTACCTCCAAAAATCATTGAATAATAAAACACTATTACACTATTAATAATTAATTTACTTTTCTCATAATTGAAGAACAAAGAACTTAGATTAAATGTAACTTATAAAAAATCAACTCTCGAATGAAAAACCGATAAAAGCAGAAAATATCAATTTTAGTTATGAAGTATAAACTTTTAATAATTTCCAAGGTATGAGCCCAATAGCTTACACTTAGCTTATATTAAAATAATAATCCTTTCGAATCAGGCATTGTAAGAACACTGCAGCATTTTTTCTTGGTTACGACTTTTTTCCCATTGTAATGCAAATAACGAGCATTATGTATACATTTTAAAACTTTTTTGAAATTTAATGCTAAATATTATTGATAATATTTATATTAATTAAATTAAATTAATTATAATATTTAATTTAAATAAGAGACAATATAAATGAGAAAATAAGAAATATAACATATATATAATATAATAAGAAAGTTACATTTTTAGGAATACAAAATAGGGTATAATATATTCTTCGGCTTTGTTTCTTGAAAAATCAAATTGCTTTTTCTATATGAGATTATTAGAAATAGATTGTAATCGAAAACTGTTTGATCGAAATGTTCACTAACTATCTGTTTCAATAGTTATACCCATTTCCCGTGATGTGGCTACGTAGGAATAAAATGTGGGTCGAATAAATATATATATATATATATATATATATATATATATATATATGAAAAAGCTTATTTATTCGACCCACATTTTATTCCTACGTAGCCACATCACGGGAAATGAGTATAACTATTGAAACAGACCGTAATACTCGATTGCGTTGTCCCGTATCTGTTCTAACATAGTTCTACGAGCCGTCCGCGCTGTCAGCTAATTCTTGCCAATCCTTTAGCCATACGGTGATCCCCGATCGACAGTTTTTCAGGACTTGTTTTATTAAAGTCCTTTTATTAAAGAAAGCGATTATCCCTAGCTTTCTCGAGCTATTGTTGTAACTCACTGTCAGCTGTCTCGTCAGCTGTGGGGACCGCGCTCGCCGATGCACACGAGCACCTACCTCAACATTTTCCAAGTTTCCGAGTTCAAACGTTGTGGATTGAGTGTCGATTCTCTCCACTCCCAAAACACCCAGCACAGATTTTCCCCTTGCAGCTTGGCTAACCTCGTTTCTACCAATTGTAGTACTGACAGACGACTATGGGTACGAACGATATCGATTCAAGCAGCACCTTGTCCTTACATAGCGATAGCGATAGAAATGTCTAAGATTACTGGTACGGGTCCTATATTTATCAGTTTTTTATTCAGCCTATATGTATAGTATATACATCTAAGGCAAGTCGAATACAAACTTATCTAGGCAGTTGACGATTTCCTTACTATACTTGTCATAAGCGGCTGTATGGACCTGAAAAATAGCAAACTGTAATACCAATACCCTCTGGTAAAGAAACCGAATGTAAAAATCGCTGCAGAGCTGTCACTTGCAATCATGTAGCCGTCAGAGTATTCTTCGGCCATTTGATTTGTATGTATGTACCAAATGTGATACGGCAACTTGCACGGCATCCGTAATCATCAATAACGCTTTAGAGAACAACAATACAAGCGAAGGTTACCTACCCATCAAAGGTTGTCGCTGTTATTACGAAAATGGCTGTACAAATCGATTAAAAAGTGGCCTGAACTGCTTCAAAATATTTAACGTTTATACCGAAGCCATCATCGAAAATAAAACTATGTCGGTCTATAAATTTCGCCTATGTTTTATCAGTGTGAAACGCAAAAGCACGAGTTATAATAATATATTATTTAAAAGAAAATACTATTATCATTATTCAAATGTGCACGCTGACTCTTGATTCTGACAAGAAGAGTGGACTAACTGATCAATTATAGGTTTTGATCTTATAATGAGCGCTAAGCTCTGCAAAAAAATTGAGAGCCAATTATATTTAACGCAGCTAGACTGATTAACTACTATAATCTCCTCGCTTAAAATTAACTTTGCTTTAATGTGGTTACGGCTTATGAATTTCCGTTGATCTTCGACAGCGTCTTGCGCGGCATTGCCGGCTAAGTTGATACCCAAGCAAAAGTAACATGCTAAGTTCCTTGCACGTAGTATTTATTAGAAAAATTAGAAGGTTACAAAAAATTTTTAGAACCTTTTTCTAACAAGACAAAGAGCAAGTATTCATTATGGCACGAGTCCTAACGAGAGGAAGTTCGGCGATTATGTTGAAGTACTTTACACTTATATCGACAAACAAATTATTGTATCTTCAAACTTGGAGTACTTTTTCATTATTAGCTAAATCGACGAAATACTGAGTATATGCATTCAAGACCGCTTTTCTGTTCCCCTAGGAAAAGAACCAGGCGTATAGGTCTATAAGGTGAGTAAGGACAAAGATGAACAGTTAAACAGAAATGCTACTATATATTTTTATTGCAAAGCCTAAGAACACGCTGCTTTTAAAAAAACTTTTTTTAAAACTTTTTAACTTTTAAAAAAAATTTCGATGTATGGACATCGACATCAATTTGCTAAAAACATTTCACTGATGCAGTTCTTATAAG